CAAAGGAATATCCCTAATCTACACATAGGTATTGTATTGACCGGGAGTCCCCAATATAGCAGAACAGAATAGTATACGATGAGATAGAATGGAATAGAAACAAACTTTACACTTTCTTTTGATTCCAAATTATTGAATTCGAAATGAAGAAAATCTCCCCAAGTAGGATTTGAACCTACGACCAATCGGTTAACAGCCGACCGCTCTACCACTGAGCTACTGAGGAACAACGGCAAATTCTATCCCATCTATATTATCATATAATAAGATATCTAATAATATATTATACTAAGACATAGAAAGAATAATATCACATAATAAAACATAGAATATCCTTAACAAACTTATATGCTTAACATATTTATATTATATGCTTAACAAACATAGGAAATATCAGATACTAACACAGAAAAGAATATCCTTAACAAACTTATATGCTTAACATATTTATATTATATGCTTAACATATTTATATTATATGCTTAACAAACATAGGAAATATCAGATACTAACACAGAAAAGAATAACATAGAAGAACAAAGAAAAAGAACACAGAAAAGAATAACATAGAAGAACGAAGCAAAGAAAAAAAAAGAACACAGAAAAGAATAAATAAAGAAATTAGTTATTTATTTAGAAATGATGAAGTATTGAAGTTTATATCATTAATTATTTTCAAATTAACAAGAAGAAGATGTTTCTTTTGTTCTTTAGATCAGAAGAATTGATTTTAATATAATCAATAACATTAACATAGAAGATATAATAAATAACATAGAAAATATAATCAATAACATTAACATAGAAGATATAATAAATAACATAGAAAATATAATCAATAACATTAACATAGAAGATATAATAAATAACATAGAAAATATAATCAATAACATTAACATAGAAGATATAATAAATAACATAGAAAATATAATCAATAACATTAACATAGAAGATATAATAAATAACATAGAAAAACAAAACAAAGTATATCAAAGAAAAACAAATCGAACACTCATAGAGGTATTATGATTTATAGCTTAGTTTGGGGAAATTATCTCGTTGGTTTCTGCGTTAAAATACTGAATTCAGCCGTTGTGATCGGATTCTATTATGGATTTCTGACTACATTCTCCATAGGACCGTCTTATCTCTTCCTTCTTCGAGGGCAAATCTTAGGAAAGGGATCTGAAACGAAAATATCAGCAACAACCGGGTTTATTACGGGACAGCTCATGATGTTTATATCGATCTATTATGCGCCTTTGCATTTGGCATTGAGTAGACCTCATACAATAACAGTCTTAACTCTACCGTATCTTTTCTTTAATTTTGTCCACAAAAATGACAAACACTACTATTTGGGTTCGGGATCCAAACTGGATTCTGAATACAAGAATCCAAATTCAATACGTCATTTTAGGATTGTTAAAGTATTCTTTAACAATCTTTTTTTTCAGTTATTAAACCCCTTTCTTTTGCCAAGTTCAATCTTAATAAGATTAATGAACATTTATCTGTTTCGATCCAACAATAAATTGTTATTCTTAACAAGTAGTTTTGTTGGGTGGTTAATAGGTCACATCTTTTTAATGAAATGTATTGGATTGGTATTAGTCTGGTTACAGCACAAAAAGTCGATCAAATATAAGATAACTATGAAATTTGATAAATACATTCTCCTACAATTGCGAAATTATGTGGGGCAAATATTTGTTGTTTTTTCATTTGTTAGCTTTGCACACTATTTAGGCCAGAACACCGCTCCCATATTATTATATTGAGGAAATGATGCGATACGATGACAGGGACCTGGAGGAAGTCAAAGCTGCAATAGATTGGGAAAAGGAAGAAACTAACGAAGAAGAAGAAGATATTACTGTTTATCTTTCTGATAAAAAAGAGAATACTTTCAACAAAAAACTCGCCCCGTTGGAAAAATCTCTTGTAACTACTCTTTTCGATTATCGAAAATGGAATAGGCCTTTGCGATATATAAAAAATGATCACTTTGAAAGGGTTGTAAGAGATGAAAATTCACAATTTTTTTTTCAAGGTATGTCAAAGTGATGGAAAAAAACGAATATCTTTCACGTATCCACCTCATTTATCTACTTTTCTGAAAATCATGGAAAAAAAAATGGATCTCTTCAGAAGAGATAAAACCTCCTATAATGATAATGAATTGTCTAATTATTGGAGCTCTGTTAATAAAGAAAAAGGAAATAAACTAATCAATGAATTTTTTCAAAGGGCAAAAATGATAGATAATAAATCTATTAAATTTAGTCCTGTGGATGTATTTGAAAATCGAATTAGATTGTCTGATGATAATAGGAAAACAAAATACTTAACTAAAATATATGATCCTTTCTTGAATGGACGCGTTCGTGGAGAAATCCAAAAAGGCTTTTCACCCTTCATTCCAAATGAAACTGACACAACAAACTACATTTTGATAAATAAGATTCATGGTCTCCTTCTTTCTATTAATAGTAATGATCCAGAATTTGAACAGAAAATAGATCAATTTGATAGAAAATTATTATTAAATGAAATTGGTTTTTTTTTTAACTTAATCAGTAAATTTTCGGAAAAATCAGTATCAAGTTTGAATTTTGACGGACTTTATTTATTTCCAGAACATGAACAAGTAAAAATATATTCCGAAGAAAAAAAAACAAAAAGAAAATTATTATTGGACGCAATTCGAACTGATCCTACTAATAATACAATTTTTAATAGAAAACTATGTAGTGAAATAAACGAAATAAGTAAAGAAGTTCCTCGATGGTCATACGACTTAGTCGACGAATTGGCGGTATTGATGGACGCGAGTCCAAAGGAGTCTCAGATTCGTTCCCCAAAAGCTGACCGTATAGTTCTTTTTAATAGTAAAACAGATTCTAATGACAATCAGAATAGTGCTGAACCGGACAGAAATACTGAATTTGCTGTAGTTCATTATTCACGCGAACCAGATTATTGCCGAGACCTAATCAGAGGATCTATGCGCCCTCAAAGGCGTAAAACAGTAACTTATAAACTCTTTCAAGGAACTGCACACTCCCCTCTTTTTTTGGAGATAATGGGCGACTACGCGTTCTTGTTTGGTGATCTTGTCTATGATATCTCCCAATATTTGAAAGAATATTTCAGGAAACCGGGTACTGATAATTCGGAATTTTTGGCGTTTGAGAAAACGATAGAACAGAAAGAGATAGAGGAAAACAAAGACGAGTCTGAAATAAGACTTAGACAAATCGAAGAAGCCTGGGAGAGCATTCTCTATGGTCTAATAATCAGAAGTTTTGTATTACTATTCCAATCAATATTTAGAAAATATATTCTATTACCTTCATTGATAATCACAAAAAATATCATTCGTATACTATTATTTCAAAATCCTGAATGGTCAGAAGATTTGAGGGATTGGAGAAAAGAAGTCCATATTTACTGCACCTATCAGGGCGTTCCAGTATCTCACACCGCGTTGCCAACAAACTGGTTCTGGGAGGGTATTCAGATAAGGATCTTATTCCCTTTTGTTCTGAAACCGTGGCACAATAAGGTACGATCTACTGAAAAAAAAAAAAAATCTACTGAAAAAAAAAAAGATCCACTGAAAGAAAAAAACTTATGGTTTTTAACAGGTTATGGAACACAAGTCGAATCGTACCTTGATGATCATGTCCCAAACCCTTTTTTATTTTTGGGTCCCATTTTAAAAAAAATAAAAAAACAATTGAAAAAAGATTTGAAAAATCGTTTTTTTCTAGTTCTAAAAGTTTTTAATGAAAGAAAAAAGGGGTCTCGAATCGTGTTAGAAGAAATCGAAAATAGGTTCAAAAAAAGAGATGAATTGAGTGAAAGCAAAAAAAATTCAACAATCAGTAAGAGTAATCCAATGATTGAGGAATCGCCCGTTCTAATTCAATCTATGAATTGGACAAATTTCACAGAAAAAAGGATAAAAGATCTTAATGTTAAAACAAAGACAATCTTAAAACAACTAGAAAAAATGACAGAAGAAAAAAAAGAGGGGGTTATAACTTTAGAGATTAATTTGAATTCTACCAAAACTACTTATGATGCTAAAAGATTAGAATTACTAAAAAATAGTTTGAAAATATTAAAAAGAAGAACCGTTCGATTAATCCGTAAATCCTATTTTTTTTTTCAAATTTTAATGGGAAGGATATACATAGAGATCGTTTTCTCTATCACTCGTATTATTATGATGTCTGGACAACGTTTTCTTAATATTATTGAATTAACAGACAAAATTGTAAATGTATTTATTTCCATTTACACTAAAAAAAAAAATGAACAAAGAGTTCATAAAACAAATGAAAGTATAATTCCATTTATGTCGATTATAGACAAATCTTGGAATATTACAGATATGAATTCACAGAATTCTTGTGATGTATCTTCTTTGTCACAAGCCTATGTATTTTTTAAATTATCACAAGTTAGTAATGGATATAAATATAAGTTAAGATCTATTTTTGAATCTCATGGAAGATCTTTGTTTCTTAAGAATGAAATAAAAGATTATTTTTTTAGAATACAAGGAGGAAGATTAAATTCCAAATTAAGACATAAGAACCGTCCCGATTCTATAATGAATCAATGGATAAATTGGTTAAAGGTTCATTATCAATATGCTTTACCTCAGAGCGGATGGTCAAAATTAGTACCACAAAAGTGGAGGAAGAGAATCCATGAACATCGCGTGGCTCAAAAGAAAAATTTAGTTGAATATGATTCATCTGAAAAAAACCAATTCATTTTTTACAAAAAACAAAAAAAACAACAAGTAGATTTATTAGAAAAAAAAAAAAAAATAAAAAAACAATATGGATATGATCTTTTCTCCTATCAATATATAAATTATGCAGATAACAAAAAATCCTATATTTATGGATATAAATCACCATTGCAAGCAAACAAAAACCAAACGATTAATTACAACATACCTAAAAATAAAAAAGAATTATTTGATATAATGGGCGATAGCTTTATCCAAAATTATATAGCAGAAGATGGTATTATAGATATGGATATGGAAACAATGGAAAAAAATCTGAATAGAAAGTATCTAAATTGGATGGGAAAAAGAAAAAAGAATTCCAAAACGAATCAGAAATTATTGACTCCGAGATTTGGGTTCTTTTCAAAATTAAGTGCATATAAGAAGAATCCTTGGATCTTACCAATGAATTTCTTTTTTGTGCAGTTTTATGGAAACAAAAACATTACTGATGTAGCCAAGTTAAAGTTAGAAAAGAAAGAATACGGGAAGCAAGCAGATCTCAAATCATATCTCTCAAACTATTATAGGGACACTCGGTATAGTATAACTAGATACAGGAAGGATCTAAATGGCGAACAAAATTTCTTACTAGATAAATATTTTGGTTTTTATTTGCACTGTAAGACTCCCGTCCAAGAAACACTAATGGATAATATCAACTTATATTGTCTCCTGGTTAGATTGAAAAATCTAAAACAATTTTTCATAATGTCTATAAAAAAGGCAGACCTCGATTTTGAAATTACGGCGCGTCTGCAGATGAAGGACACTTGTTATACAGAATGTAGGGACACAGAGGAATTGAGGGACAACCTAATGTTTTTTATTGAACCTATTCGTATTTCTAGAAAAAACTATGAACAATTTTTTATATATCAAACCATAAGCATATCATTGAGGCACAAACGTAAAATTTTGAAAAGAAACTATGATTTACTTGTTCCTGAAAATCTTTTGTCCACTAGACGCCGTAGAGAATTGAGAATTCTAATTTGTTTGAACCCACAGAATAGAAATACTGTGCATAGAAACACAATAAATGACACTGAGAAAAAACGAAATAATTCTTCTGAAGTTTTGACTCAAAATGAAGATATTGATAGCGATACAAAAAAACTAATGACTTTAAAATTCTTTCTTTGGCCAAATTATCGATTCGAAGATTTAGCTTGTATGAACCGCTATTGGTTTGATACACATAATGGAAGCCGTTTCAGTATATTAAGAATACATATGTATCCTCGATTGAAAATCTAGATTTTTGTTCTATTTATCATTATCATAATATTTCAGATATCTATCTGATATCTGATATGTGAACATATATATATATATATAAATAAATATTTATTTATATATATATATATATGTTCACATATAATTGATAATTGCAATAAATAAAATAAACGCGCACACGCATTGTGGGATTGATACGACTTCAATGATGTCTCCATTAGATAGAAATAAATCAATAGAAAAATGAATAAATCAAAATTGTCTTTTTTTTTTTTATTTTTTAAATACAAGACAATAGAATTTTTTATTTTTTGAATACATAAATATAGTATTTATTCTCTATTTGAATTACATTCCTTAATAAGGAATTTGAAAAAAAAAAATTCAGAATTGTGAAAATTGTTAAATAAATTAAGGTAAAATTTGATATAAAAAATTCAAAATGAGTGTCATTACTATTACTGATCAATAAAAATATCTACCAAAAAGGAGGGGGAAAGAAAAGCTTTCATTTTATGATAAAAAATTCATTTATACCTGTTATTTCACAAAAAAAAAAAGAAGAAGAAAACCCGGGATCGGTTGAATTTCAAGTATTCAACTTCACTAATAAAATACAAAGACTTACTTCACATTTTAAATTACACCCAAAAGACGATTTATCTCAAGGAGGTTTACGTATAATTCTGGGAAAACGGAAACGACTATTGTCGTATTTGTCAAAGAAAAACAAAATACGTTATCAAAATTTAATAAATCGGTTGGGTATTCGGGATTCACAAATTAGGTAATTTAAAGAATCATTTTCAATTATTCGATTTATTAGATACTGAATTTTGATGAACTTTTTTTTTTGAACGATTCATGGAAGAATGAATCGAGGAAAAACCTATGAATATCCCAGCTACAAGAAAAGACCTCATGATAGTAAATATGGGGCCTCAACACCCATCGATGCATGGTGTTCTTCGACTTATTGTTACTCTGGATGGTGAAGATGTTATTGATTGTGAACCAATATTGGGTTATTTACACAGAGGTATGGAAAAAATAGCGGAAAACCGAACAATTATACAATATCTGCCTTATGTAACACGTTGGGATTATTTAGCGACTATGTTCACAGAAGCAATAACTGTAAACGGGCCGGAACAATTGGGAAATATTCAAGTACCTAAAAGAGCCAGCTATATACGAGTAATTATGTTGGAGTTAAGTCGTATAGCTTCTCATCTACTATGGTTGGGACCTTTTATGGCAGATATTGGTGCACAAACCCCTTTTTTCTATATTTTTAGAGAAAGAGAATTAATATATGATCTATTCGAAGCTGCGACAGGTATGAGAATGATGCATAATTTTTTTCGTATTGGGGGGGTAGCCGCTGATCTACCTTATGGTTGGATAGATAAATGTTTTGATTTCTGCAATTATTTTTTAACAAGGGTTATTGAATATCAAAAACTTATTACGCGAAATCCAATTTTTTTAGAACGGGTTGAAGGAGTAGGTTTTGTTGGTAGAGAGGAAGTTATAAATTGGGGGTTATCAGGACCGATGCTTCGGGCTTCCGGAATACAATGGGATCTACGTGAAGTTGATAATTATGAGTGTTACGAGGAATTGGATTGGGAAGTTCAATGGCAAAAAGAAGGAGATTCATTAGCTCGTTATTTAGTTCGAATTGGTGAAATGGTGGAATCCATAAAAATAATTCAACAGGCTTTGGAAGGAATTCCAGGGGGGCCTTATGAAAATTTTGAAATCCGCTGCTTTGATAGAGAAAAGGAGCCAGAATGGAATGATTTTGAATATCGATTCATTGGTAAAAAATCGTCTCCTACTTTTGAATTGCCGAAACAAGAACTTTATGTGAGAGTTGAGGCCCCCAAGGGAGAATTAGGAATTTTTCTAATAGGAGATCAGAATGGTTTTCCTTGGAGATGGAAAATTCGTCCACCTGGTTTTATCAATTTGCAAATTCTTCCTCAATTAGTTAAAAGAATGAAATTGGCTCTCAATTAGTTAAAAGAATGAAATTGGCTGATATTATGACAATACTAGGTAGCATAGATATCATTATGGGAGAAGTTGATCGTTGAAATGAGAATTGATACAACGGAAGTCCAAGATATAAACTCCTTTTCCGGATTGGAATCTTTCAAAGAGGTCTATGGAATTCTATGGATACTTGTACCAATTTTGATTCTTATCTTGGGAATCACAATAAGTGTACTAGCAATTGTATGGTTAGAAAGAGAAATATCAGCAGGGGTACAACAGCGTATTGGACCTGAATACGCTGGTCCTTTTGGAATTCTTCAAGCTCTAGCAGACGGAACAAAACTACTATTCAAAGAGAATCTTATTCCATCTAGGGGAGATATTCGTTTATTCAGTATTGGACCATCCATATCAATAATATCAATTCTAATAAGTTATTCAGTAATTCCCTTTGGCTATAACTTTGTTTTATCTGATTTCAAGATAGGTGTTTTTTTATGGATTGCTATTTCGAGTATTGCTCCCATTGGACTTCTTATGTCAGGATATGGCTCAAATAATAAATATTCCTTTTTGGGTGGTCTACGAGCTGCTGCTCAATCGATTAGTTATGAAATACCATTAACTCTATGTGTCTTATCAATATCTCTACGTGCGATTCGTTGAAACCAAAAAAGTTATTCGATGCTATTGCTATGCTCCTCTCTTTATAGTACTATATAGGAAAGGAGGCGAATCAATTGAATAGAAACCTTCATTATCTTTATTTTTCTCCGATTGAAGAACTAAATTAGATAGTTATATGAGTGAAATAAAACAGCTTATATTGAATAGAATTTCAGAATACTTTCTTACTTCTAGTTAATAGATAGTATGATGATTTTTAATGGCAGTAAAAATATTGAGTCTCATTTTCTATGTATAAGAATGAAATAAAATTATAAACAGAAGAGGCCATTTAACCCAAGATTGGATAATTTGTCATCCTGTTTTGAAGCGGGCTCTAAAGACCAACCTTATTGAGTTTTAGTTACCATTTTTATGAATTCTCATAGATATATTAAAATAAATAAGGGGGATTAATAAAAAAGAGTGGATGGTTAGAAACACCAAGATACACAAAGGATTAGTAACACAGATTTTGTAAATTATCCAAAAGACAATTTACGCAGAATATAAAAAGAATACTAATTGGGGCTTTAAGTTGGTAGAAAAAATAAAGCAGTACTCCCCACAACTCCGATCCAGAGTATGCTTCCATCCACTCATTAAATAAATGACTATCAGGAACGAAAAAATCCTTTAAAATTTTTTAAGTCCCTTTTTCATAGCACAAAAAAGAAGAATAGGAACGAAAAAAAAAACATAAGAAATCAAAAACGAAAGAGAAATCTATTTTTCGTTTTTGATTTCTTATATCCATATCCATATTCATGGAGATCAAATCATAATTAAGAAACGAATGTTTAATTCTTTTTCGTAATTCAAAATCATGAGGGCTATTGAGAATTATAAAAGAGTATTTTATTGAAGAATTCAGTTATTACTCAACAAATTTTTATTTTTGAGGGATGAGATCAATTCAGAAGTGCCTTACATTGGATCTTTTATTAAACTATATTTCTCTTTCTTATTTCGTTATTTCTAGAACAGACAGAATTGAATTGGTCTAATTCAGAACCGTTCGATCTATTTTCATCTTCTATATCTTAGGGATATAGCAAGAGAGAAATAATTGACCCGGTCCTTAGATTTACTTAAGGCTTTCCAGGAGCCGTATGAGGTGAAAATTTCATGTACGGTTCTGTAATAGAGATGGGAACAGTAATGTTATCACCGACTAGGATTATCTAACAGTTTAAGTACAGTTGATATAGTTGATGCGCAAGCAAAATATGGTTTTTGGGGTTGGAATTTGTGGCGTCAACCTATGGGTTTCATCGTTTTTCTAATTTCTTCGCTAGCAGAATGTGAAAGATTACCTTTTGATTTACCAGAAGCAGAAGAAGAATTAGTAGCTGGTTATCAAACAGAATACTCAGGTATTAGATTTGGTTTATTTTACGTTGCTTCCTATTTAAACCTTTTAATTTCTTCATTATTTGTAACAGTTCTTTACTTGGGCGGTTCAAATATCTCTATTCCGTACATATTTGTTTCTGAATTTTTTGAAATAAATAAAACATACGGAGTTTTTGGAACTACAATTGATCTCTTTATTACATTAGCTAAAAGCTATTTTTTCTTATTTGTTTCTATCATAACAAGATGGTCTTTGCCTAGGCTAAGAATGGATCAATTATTAAATCTTGGATGGAAATTTCTTTTACCTATTTCTCTCGGTAATCTATTATTAACAACTTCGTCTCAATTGTTTTCGCTGTAAAAGATGGATCTTCTATATTCATTACTTGTCTCAAATAAGAGAAAGAAATAAAACAAAACTATTCATAGATATTTACGATATGTTCCTTATGGTAACTGGGTTCATGAATTATGGTCAACAAACAGTCCGAGCTGCAAGGTACATTGGTCAAAGTTTCATGATTATCTTATCTCACGCAAATCGTTTACCTGTAACTATTCAATATCCTTATGAAAAATTAATCACATCAGAACGTTTCCGCGGTCGAATCCATTTTGAATTTGATAAATGCATTGCTTGTGAAGTATGTGTTCGTGTATGTCCTATAGATTTACCCGTTGTTGATTGGAAAATGGAAACGGATATTAGAAAGAAACGATTGCTAAATTACAGTATTGATTTCGGAATCTGTATTTTTTGTGGTAACTGTATTGAGTATTGTCCAACAAATTGTTTATCAATGACTGAAGAATATGAACTTTCAACTTATGATCGTCATGAATTGAATTATAATCAAATTGCTTTGGGCCGTTTACCAATGTCAATAATTGATGATTATACAATTCGAACAATTCAAATCAAATAAAAAAAGACAATTTTTTATAATTTAATAAAATACAATTCTAAAAAAAAAAAGAATATTCTATATATATATAGATTTCTATATATATATAGAATATATATAGAATATATAGAATAATCGAAATAAAATATTTTCAAAAATTGTATAAAAAATGAATCATATAATCGATATTGGATTAGAAATATTCTCTAATTATTAGAGAAATATATTCTTAAATAGAATAGAGAAATATATTATCGAAATTTGAAATATTCTTTAATTTAAAGACTAGTTCAAATGGTTATATATGTTCTATCTACCTTTATACTTTAGTTTTAATATCGTTTCAAACTACTCTTTCGTATAAAGAGTAGTTTAAGTGGAATGACATTGATTATATAACCGTAACTATATCAATTTAAACTACTTAGGTTTTTTCAATGCAAAGAAAAATTTAAGTATATAACAATTTTTTCCTGGTCATATCAATAAGGTCATGAAATTTCGATTTCTTTGTCTTTTTTTTTTTTACATATAATGGATTTGCCTGAAACGCTGCACGATTTTCTTTTAGTCTTTCTGGGATCGGGTCTTATATTAGGAAGTTTAGGAGTAGTATTACTTACCAACCCCATTTTTTCTGCTTTTTCGTTGGGACTGGTTCTTGTTTGTATCTCTTTCTTATATATTTTAGCAAACTCGCATTTTGTAGCTGCATCACAGCTACTTATTTACGTGGGAGCTATTAACATTTTAATCATATTTGCTGTGATGTTCATGAATAGTTCCGAATATTACCAAGATTTTCATCTTTGGACCATAGGGGATGGAATTACTTTGATAGTTTGTACAAGTATTTTTGTTTCACTAATAACTATTATTTCAGATACATCATGGTACGGAATTATTTGGACTACAAGACCAAATCAGATTATTGAACAAGATTTGATAAGTACTAGTCAACAAATTGGAATTCATTTATCAACAGATTTTTTTCTTCCATTTGAACTAATTTCAATAATTCTTTTAGTTTCTTTGATAGGTGCAATTGTCGTAGCTCGCCAGTAAGAAATCTTTAGAGAACTACTAATATAAATCAAGACTATATATATATATGTATTTTTTTTTTTTCAATGTGAAGTGAAAGAGTTTTTAGGTAGAAATTCTTTTTTTTTATTGCCAATATATTCTTTTGTTGCAGACTTGTTATATTCTTTAGTCAATTGAATCTGTTGAATTGTTGTTCATATTGAAATGAATCAAAATTGATAAGGAGTTGGTCAATGATGCTCGAACATGTACTTGTTTTGAGTGCCTATTTATTTTCTATTGGTATCTATGGATTGATCACGAGCCGAAATATGGTTAGAGCCCTTATGTGTCTTGAACTTATATTGAATGCAGTGAATATAAATCTAGTCACTTTTTCTGATTTTTTTGATAATCGCCAATTAAAAGGAAATATTTTTTCAATTTTTGTTATAGCTATTGCAGCCGCTGAAGCGGCTATCGGACTGGCTATTGTTTCCTCAATTGCTCGTAACAGAAAATCAACCCGTATCAATCAATCGAATTTGTTGAATAAATAGCATGAATCATATCATAATTAATAAAAAAGAAACAAAGTAGAATTTCAAATAGTGTAATATTAATCAATTCATTTTAGTATTTATTCGACACAACTTATGATCATATCATGTTTGCATTCCCTAAATCATAAGAAATCAAAGTATCCTGGTCCTCTTCTATTTCCTCTTCTAAATTTATCTAGACGCCTTTTTTATTAACAGTTAACAATATTATCACAAATCATTGATTCATCTGGTATATAAATATACGATTCATTTACGAGTTTACTAGATCGATAATTTTCATTTTTGAACATCAAAAATTACTATAGATATAATGTCACATTCAGTAAAGATTTATGATACATGTATAGGATGTACTCAATGTGTCCGAGCCTGTCCCACAGATGTATTAGAAATGATACCTTGGGATGGATGTAAAGCTAAGCAAATAGCTTCTGCCCCAAGAACAGAGGACTGTGTTGGTTGTAAGAGGTGTGAGTCCGCTTGTCCGACAGATTTCTTAAGTATTCGAGTTTATTTATGGCATGAAACAACTCGAAGTATGGGTCTAGCTTATTGATACGTTTCAAAAAACACCACACGAATACGTTTTTTACTGGCAAAAACTCGTGCTCAAAATCAAATAGAAAAAAATTTTCTATTTGATTTTGAGCACGGGCTTTTTCTGGCCCAAGTGTATCTTATTTTTATCACGAATGATTTTCCTTGGTTAACAATAGTTGTTGTTTTCCCAATAGCCGCAGGTTCCTTCATTTTCTTATTTCCTCATAGGGGAAATAAGGTAATTAGGTGGTATAGCATTTGTATATGCTTAATCGATCTCCTTCTAACAACCTATGCATTTTGTTATCATTTCCAATTGGATGATCCACTAATTCAACTGACGGAGAATTCTAAATGGATCAATTTTTTTGATTTTTACTGGAGATTAGGAATAGATGGACTCTCTATAGGACCTATTTTACTGACGGGATTTATAACTACTTTAGCCACTTTAGCGGCTCAGCCGGTTACTCGAGAATACCAATTATTCTATTTCCTGATGTTAGCAATGTATAGCGGTCAAATCGGACCATTTTCTTCTCGAGACATTTTACTTTTTTTTCATCATGTGGGAATTGGGAAAGAAACGTTTGTATTCAGCTAC